TGGGTCAAAGACGAATCCAACAAATCAGAAATAATTTTTACCGACAGAAGAAATAGAAATAAAAATATATACCTACCTATAATGATGTAATAACATAAATTCACAGTAATAAAAACTACAAATTAATATTAAACTCCTATGGGAAGCATTTCTTTACTTTATGTGAGTCGAGTCGTCTTATTGTATACACGCTAAGCTTCTGAATACAGTTTTTTTTGTTCCTTTCCAATTTTTTTGAGGTATGAGGGAAGGAAATACCTTTTCTTTAAAGTTATTAAGTTGGTGTAAAATTATCAGTTCTGCCTTTTCTTGGGAACTACTAAGCTTACACGCAACAATTTTGACATGATAGTTAATATTTTACATGTGCGTCCGGCGTACATTTGGTTAGTTAAAGGATTACTTGATATATTAATTATAGAGATAATGTCTGCAATATAATTAACTTTTTATTTTATATGATTTTCTATTTTTAATTGTACTTTAAAGCACGTAACATAATATAACCAATATTATTTTTAAAATGTAATATTAAATAGTTCTTGAAAATAATTTTGTACCACAGACTGAACTTTCTTTATTAAATTAAGTCAAATTAAATTTTTACCATCTGCAATTAATAATTTTACAGAATAAGACATAATACCAGTATTTAGAAACAAGAAAAGATTATACAGAATGAATTCTTACGACAGTTAATTATTTTGAATTTAACCAATAATTAAGCTAGGGAGTAGTTCTGTTGCTTATTTCTCCTTTATATTTTGATCGCGTAAGTGACTTTAAATAATAAGTATTTTCCTCGAGGGGTGTTTCACTATTGGAATTACATGTACATTTCTTTGACAGTCGCTGGGAGTCAGTGGCAGGCTTCTTTGCAGTCATTGGCTGTAGCTTAGCAGTAGAATGATATTTTGGTTATACATGTACATTTTTTCCCATGTGAGACACCCCTCGATTTTCCCAACGTACATTGATATCTTCGCGACTGCTAGTTTTTTTGCCTAGAAGAATCTCAAAATAACTAGTTTTAAAAATGTTTTCGACAACGATATCTCTAAAACTAATTGTAGAATTTAAGATTTTTCTTTAAAATAGTAAACAGAAAGCAACAAGCTATTCAACGATATACTGTATGATCGAAAAAAAAACGCCAGCTGGGGCATGACAATCGATGATAATTTTGTCGAACTAAATCTCTAGACGCAAAAAAACCTTCTCAAGAAGAATATCTCAAAAAATACTTCTTAAAAATATATACAGACATTTATTTTTTCACCATGAATTTGCAAAATAATTATTAATAATTTTATGATAAATTGATATTTATGATAAATTGATAACAGTTCAGTATTTGTGTACTGTTTATGTATAACAATTTATATAAACTATTTATAAATATTATCCTTTACAGTCATATATTTAACGCAAATGGACTGTTCAAAAACTTCTTTGTACAAATATTTTATTACAGTTACTCGATAACACTGTTACACTGTTGTAAAGTAGAACATTTTCAAATATTATATGTTACTAGAACACATTGTTTCGTAATGTATACAATAACAGCTGGAATAAACCAAATAATTATGCGAATAACAAACAAAGGATTAAATTAAAATATTTTTCTTTTAACAACCGCCAAAACGAAGAATAAAAAAAGCTCATTAAAAGTGGGGTGTGTCGTTATGCAGAGCTTTTGCATTATCTCAAAGCCAGGCGGGGGCTAAAACAAGCATCTTTTTTTGGAAATTAATATAGGATGCGATGTAACGAACACGCCGGATGACAAAAAGGACCCTAAACACTAGTTAAAAATAATATGAATATTTAAAAAGAGAATAACGAAGAATGAGAGAGCAAAGGATAAAGGAACGAAAATGTTGTTAGAGTGCTTTCGTGCTTTGTAATGTGGTGTATAATTGTTTAATATAAAATAAATGTTTAATAAAAATATACTTTTATGAGGTTCACTTGTATATCTAGTGCATTTTTCTGTTTTGATATATAACGAAATAATGGTTTGTAATAACATTAATAGATATAAATAAATGTTTAATAATTAAAAAAATAAATGTTTAATAAAAAAATATACTTTTATGAGATTCACTTGCAATTGATGGTTTGTAATAACCCCATTAATAGATATACATGTAGATAGTACCTACTAGGTACTACCTACTCCATCATCAGGTGATATTGGGCTGATTCCACAAACACAGCGCAAAGTATCTAAATCCGACTTATCGTAAAGTAGCGGTAAGATATTAAGTCCCGCAAGAAGAGATAGCGGCCTGCGTGCAATGGTAGTATTTTCGTACCACCGAGGCACAACTATCGATAGTAAATAAAGGCTTTTTCCGGCTAGTCCAAATTAAGAAATGGAATAATATTTCTTGCTGTTATTAGGTATATAATAAAATTATAGAGTTTCTTGCCTTGAAATGCTATATAGAAATTAATTCCACACTGTATTTGTCATAATGGGGAACAACATGCTCTCATTACCGCTTTCGCAGCACCACTCCATCATCAGGTGAGCTTGTGCTGATTCCACAACACATGACAAACACAGCGCAGAGTATCCAAATCCGACTTGTGTTGTATACGTAAATATACATGTTTTATAAGATGCATGAAAATGTACACATAATTAGTTTCATATTATACAGGGTGGTCCGCATTGTATTTCGGAGACTTCCGCAGCATATTCTGCAGATTAAATAAGTAAAAAAGTTAATATAAATGTATGTCCTAAAATGCTTAGTTTCAGAGTTAGAGATACAGAGATAAAAGTTTCATTTTTATATCGATTTTATCCAAATAATTTCTAAACTAACGTCGATACTTGATTGAAAATTAGTGTCTAGAAGTTTTTTGACATAAGAAATTTCATTTTAATATCAATATGACTCCTACTTGTAGAGGGCGCCGCCTACATATTTTTTAACTGGTTTGAAGAGTGTAACGTTTTTAGTTCGTTACATGTCTTTGTTTATGATATATGATGTCTGGCGTATCATCACCGGGGAGTGATAACGTCCTTCCCCTTCCCTCTCGTTCAGGCCGGATAATTTATTTGACGTGCTTGGTGTAATTTTTACGTTCTCTAGTCAGCAACCCTGCTATCGTTTCACTGCTCTGTGGAGGCGCTGTCAACATCGCTCCAAGGTCTCTACGCTGTGAACTCACTTTTGCTTTTGCCGCTCTGTAGCCTAACCTAATCATCCCAGCTTGGTGATTATTTAAATCTTGCTGTGTATAATCTGAATCAGCTGCTATTTCAAAGTAACAGGTAAAGATGAAATATTATCCTTTTAGATTCGATATTATTATATATATATATATATATATATATATATATATATATATATATATATATATATATATATATATATATATATATATATATATATATATATATATATATATATATATATATATATATATATATATATAAGCACTATAATAATTATTAAAATTGTACAATGCTATTTATCATCAGGATACATCATGCATGAATATAGTCACTTGTTTTAAGCAATAAACAAATGTGTTTTCTTTCTCTGTTCATGCCTGGCGCCCAATATTTGTATTTTCGATTTATTATTGTTAGTTAGTTTCTTTCCAGTGAAATACCTTATCCACGACTGCTCTACCAACGAAAAGCTGCCATTCGCAGTGGTAATGTTTCATAAAAAACGCTACAAGAGTAATAACTTTTCATCCGTACCTGTATAAAACTACCGAGTAAAAAATATACATTTACGATATTTTTACGCAAAAAAGGTCTCTTGGTAAAAATCGCTACGAGTAATGGTTCTCGAGATATTTGGAATCCAAATTATCAATACCTCTGATCATTGTCATAAATTAAACATGTTGACTAAATAGTTATTAGACTGAAATCATGAATTTGAAATAATTTTGTGTCAAAAGTTAAACAGAATTGTTTGATCATCACTTTTTCGAAGAAAAATTTATTTACCAATTTACTACTAAATTTATCATTTCAGTCAAATAACTATTTACTCAACATGTTTATTTTTTGTCAATAATGACATACGTACAGACTATTATTCTATTGCATTCTACATATTTTGAGAACGGTGGCTCGTAAGGATTTTTGCCAAGAGACATTTTTAAGGTAAAAAATCACGGAAATGTATATTTTTCACACAGTAGTTTTATACAACTACGGACGATTACTTACTCTTCAAAACAGTTAAAACACATGTAGGTGGGCCCCATACAAATAGGAGTCATATTTGATTTCAAAATCAAATTTGTCATGTCAAAAAACTCTCAGACACCAATTTTCATTCAAATATTGACTTTACTTCAGAAATTATTCGGAAAAAAAATCGAAATTAAAATGAAATTTCTCCACCCTGTATCTCCTAAACTAAGCAATTTAGGACACACATTTATACGAACTTTTTTACTTATTTTTATCTGCCGAAGTTTCCGGAATACAGTTCGGACCACCCTGTATATCTAATAGATTTATGAAGAAATATTTGAAATTTTATGCGAATAATATTCGAAAATTTTAAAGGACAAGATTATTTTAATTTAATATTTTTTGCTCAACTTAACTCTCATTTAAGAGTTATTTTTAGTTTAATTGAATAAATTCTTTTTGTTCCGATTGAATTAAATTTTCGAAATAATCTAGACTGGCTGTGTTAAAAAAACTAATTTTTAATCAAGGAGCCTTCGAAAAATATATTTGCTGGTCTAATGTTTTCGTGTCTTATCCTGACCGGTTAAAAGATGTCCAAATCGTATTTTTAATCAGAAGTCAATTTTTTTAAATGGAATGATGGTGGCTTATTTGGAAAAAAAAATTCGCATAGCTTGGTAACATACACTTGGTATTTCGAGTCAACTTGTTGTTACATTAATGACAATGGCACTCAAAATTTAAAATGCTATTTTTTTAATTGGAAATATCAAAGTGGACATATGATATGTGAAATGAATGAAAAATTATCAGAATGAAAAATTATAAGAAAAATCCCCGGGTGGCAATCCACACCTCATTTAGAGGGAGCCCCAACGGATACGGGGGGGGCAGTTCTGCTGAAGATTTTCAAGTACAAGCTGTAAACAGCAACCGGGACAGAAAGAGGAAAGGGAGGAAGATCAAGGAAAGGAAATTAAGACTCGCCACATGGAATATCCAAGGATGGAGAACCAAGCGAGAAGAAGTGTTGGAGGAATTCAAGAACATGAACGTGGATATATTGGTTGTAACCGAGACAAAGAAAAGGGAAACGGTACAGAAGAATCGGAGGCGCACTGCATATATGGAGCGGAGTGAAAAAAGAACAAAGAGCTAAAGCGGGAGTCGGAATATTAGTGAAGAAAAAATTTAGAAAGAACATCAAGACGTGGGAACCAGTAAACGAAAGGGTGATAAGAGTGGAGATAGCGATATACGGTAGGGACGTAATTATAATAGGCGCATACGGACCAAACGATGACAGCCCCGTTACAGAGAAAGAAAAGTTTTTGGACACGATACAGAACGAAATTGCTAACATACGGAAAAAAGAACTCATTATAGCAGGCGACTTGAATGGGAGAGTAGGCAGAAAAGAAAATGATAGCGTAATAGGAAGATTTGGAGAAGAAATAACCAACGATAACGGTGAAAGAGTCATAGAAATATGCGAACTAAACGACCTCAAAGTAACAAATGGGTTCTTCAGACATAAGGATATCCACAGATACACCTGGACACAAGAAACGAGAGAACTCAAATCTATAATAGATTACATTATCATACGAAGAAGATCTACAATTAAAATAAGGGACGTCCGAGTACAGCGAGGGGCAGAATGCGGAAGCGACCACAGATTATTACTAGCTAAAATGGAATTCCCTTGGATGAATAGAAAAACGAACAACATTGAAGGAACACCGATAGAAATACAAAAAAGAAAACCACTAAAAATACAATTATTACAGGATGAATCCACACGACATCTATACCAAACAAGACTTGACCAGAAACTCATAGAATTTAGATACGATGATAACATGGAAGACACATACCAGCACATCAAAGAAAGTATGCTACAGGCAGGGATGGAAGCCCTCGGAGAAGTAGAAGGAAAACAACGACCTTTCGAATACAATCTTAGTGAAACGACGATTAACGAAATTAAATGTAAAAAACAACTGTACAATAAATGGCTGAGTACCAGGAATGAAGATGACTACAAAAAATATAGAGAAAAAAACAGAGACGTTAAAGGGATGGTAAACAGAGAGAAAAACGAAAATTGGGAAAAAACCTGCCAGAACTTGGACCAATATATCGGTGGAGCTAGAAGATCAGAAGCATGGAGAGTGATTAAGGAATTGAGATCCGATAGGAAAGAAAGATCATACATATCATACATTGAACCTGAGAAGTGGAAAGATCACTACAAAGATTTACTCACGGAAACAAGACAAAAGTTTATAGAGGAAAGACAAGAAGAAGAGGGACAACCTAGAGCACAACATATACCTATAACAATAGAAGATATACGAAAGGCAATTAAAACAATAAAAAACAAAAAAGCAGGAGGACCAGGGGACATCGCACCAGAGCTCATAAAATGCGGCACAGAAAAATTATTCAGAATCATACATGGAATGTTTGGGAAAGCAATAAATGGACATAACATACCAGACGAATGGAAGGAAGCACAGCTAACATCGATTTTCAAAAAAGGAGATAGAAGACAGTGCGATAACTATCGAGGGATCAGTGTCATAGCAACCATGGGGAGGCTATATGGTAGAGTACTGAGAGACAAATTAGAACAGAACATACAAGGAAAAATCGGAGAAGAACAAGCAGGTTTTACAGCAGGGAGATCATGCATAGATCATATTTACACGATCCAACAATTATTGGAGAAAAAAAAAGCAAAGAACAAACCAGTACACTTAGCATTCATCGATTTAAAGAAGGCCTATGACACTGTACCCAGGAAAGAACTATGGAAAGCGATGGAAAGACTGGACATACCGATAACACTCACAAATGCAATGAAGACTTTATATAGGAACAACAAAATACACATAAAAGTAGGGAACAAGATAGTAAACAGCTTAACAACATCGAAGGGGCTGCTCCAGGGATGTCCAACATCGCCAACATTATTTAAAATATTTCTGGAACATGCACTGACAACCTGGAAACGCAAATGTGAAGGTATGGGAATCCCTCTAAGAAATGAACATCTTTACACGCTCTGCTTTGCAGATGACCAGGTGGTGATGGCCCAGGATGAGGAAGATCTAAGTTATATGCTCAGGAAGCTAAATGAAGAGTATGAAAAAGTAGGACTAGAAATAAACCTGAAGAAAACCATGTACATGACAACAGAGGAAGATACAGCTGATTTACAAATAGAAGACCACCTGGAAATAAAGGGAACCAATAACTTTAAATACCTGGGATTTACACTATCGAAAAACGCAACTACGGAAGAAGATATAAATGTCAGACTTGGACAGACAAGATCCTGTATACAACAACTGCACTCCGTTATCTGGGATAGAAATATCAGGAAAAAGACTAAAACATTGATATATGAAACAATTATTCAGAGTATCATGACATATGCAGCAGAAGTATGGGTCATAAACAAAAACAACCAAAGAAAAATTCTGGCCACCGAAATGATGTATTGGAGAAGATGCTGTGGACTAACCAGAAGAGACCGAGTCACGAATGAGGAAATAAGAAGAAGAATGGGGAGAAAGACCGACGTCTTAAAGTACATAGAAACGAAAAGATTGGTATGGTACGGTCATGTTAGAAGGGCGGAAAATGGATGGATTAACAGAGTGACAGAGTGGAGCCCGATTGGAAGAAGAAAGCGAGGGCGGCCAAGAAGATCATGGCGAGATGAAGTGGACGAGTCTATGCATCGGAGAGGACTACGAGAGGGAACATGGGATGATCGAGACGAATGGAGGACCCGGTTGATGGAAGGAAGGCAGCCAGAGCTGTAGAATCCTTTATATATATACATATGATATGTCATTCTATTTAGAATTTCATTTTCTGATCTCAATGAAGTAAAAAAATAACGCAGAACATTTCAAAATAAAAAGATGTTGTCATTACCGGTGAAACAGGATGTGACCGAAATCAATTGGATAGGTTAGTCAATCTTATTTTATGTCATATACATGACATAAATAGAATTGGTATGTTACCAAATCTTTTTTTTTTATCTGAAAAAATAAAAAAGTTATAGGGATGATTCACTTTTGAGAAACACCCTGTATACAGGGTGTCCAAGGCTGAGCGTGCATTAGAAGTTTCTAGAGAACCACAATATCTAGAACCGAGATTTTTTGCACATCATTGTTTTACAACGAGATCTACCGATTAAAATTATTTTCAATATGGCGACACTTCCGGAAATACCGGAAGTTGGCAGCAACTTTCTTATCTTAAATGGGTACCCCCATTTTTTATTACATATTTAAATTCTCTGTAAAATTTTATGAATTTTTATATAAACACTCTATACCTAACATTAACCGTTTTTGAGGAAAAAAAAATATTTAAAAATTTGGACGAAAAAAACTATCTGTCAAAAAAATTTGTATAGCATAAAAGTCAAATTTAGTGACTACCACAGCCACTGTGACATAAGAGAAGACATGTGGCTATCTACTTCAGAATTTAAATTGCTCAAATGTCATATAATAATGGCGGTAGCTGTCATGGAGTTTTGTGATTAAAAAATTATCATAAATCATTTTTTTCAAATGGAAACCCACTTTTTTATTTCACTAGTGCAAAGGTTTTCCAATTCGTTACATTTTGAGTATACATGTTCCTATACCTAAAATAAATCGTTTTTAAGTTATTTAAGATTTAGTTTGAAAACATATATTTTTCTTGATTTTATCAAGCTTCCTTTGACATTAAGTGTCAAACAGTCAAACAATTTTCTTCCATCTGTAAGAAAACGAATTATTTGAAAATTTCCTATATTATAAATACCTCGATAAATACCGACTGCCTTAAAAGTTTAAAAAGTGTATTTATAAAAATATATCTCGTATTTTCGCTCTTTAGTGATATCTAATAGTTGATATTATTATTAATAATAATATACCGTATGATCGAAAAAAAAACAGAGTTGGCTTGGAAATGATAATCGATAACATATTGCTTTTTGAACAAAGTATCACAATATGACATGGCCAGATCTATTGTTTTACATCACTTGACGTTTAAAGTCATAAGTAGGTAACCTGGTTAAAATCAAGAAAAATATACGCTTTAAAACTAAATCTTAAATAACTTAAAAACAATTTATTTTAGGTATAGGAATTTTAGGTATAGTCAAAAAGTAACAAATTGAAAAGACATTTCACTAGTCAAATATAAAAAGTGGGTTTCCATTTGAAAAAAATGATTTATGATAATTTTTTAATCGCTCAATTCCATGACAGCTGCCGTCATTATTATATGACATTCGAACAATTTCATTTTTGAAATAGATAGCCACATGTCTTCTTCTTTTTATGACACAGTGACTGTGGTAATCACTAAATTCGACGTTTCGTTCAAAAATTTTAAATATTTTTTTTCTCAAAAATGGTTAGTGTTTAATATCAAAGTTCATAAAATTTTACGAAGAATTTAAATATGTAATAAAAATGGGGGTACTCATTTAAAATAAGAAAGTTGCTGCCAACTTCCGGTATTTCTGAAAGTGCCGCCATATTTAAAATATTTTTAATCGATAGATCTCGTTGTAAAACAATGATATGCAAAAAATCTCCGTCCTAGATATTGTAGTTCTGTAGAAACTTCTAATGCACGCTCAACCTGGAACAACCTGTATATTAAAGCTCCGTAGCTTTAGGATTTAGATTAAGTCACACTGATACCGGTCGGTGGTGCTTCTAACCGAAACGTTGTGTAAATTAAAATAAATGATGCCAATGGATGATTTTAAAATGTATATTGTCATTTCTAAAATAAAAAAAATGTCTATAAGCAGCATTAAAATTAAAGAAAATCTGCATATGCATAAAATTTGAGTTGACAAATTGCGATAATTTCGTATGTAGCACAAAAAAATTACTCTACAATGTATCGCAGTAAAAATTCTAATTGCTCGGAATACATTCCTTTTTAAACCCTGCAAGATTAATTATAGTAACATAGTTAATGGTTTCTGTAAAATTTATCGACATTTTTAAACGAGCCTGGGAGTAAAAGAATTTAATGGACAATTTTTATTACACTATAAACCGAAAAAGTAACGTTAGCATTAAAAAGCTCTCTCTATATCTCGTCCAATCTATATCGATCGCGTCTCTTTAAAATCTCGATAGAGAGATTAATCGCAATAAAAATTCTAAGTAAATTTAAATATTTCATATTAATTTAAACGACTAATAAAATAGAGTGTTAGAAAGTATTTAAAATTACAGAAGGCAGACATAGACAGAATATTTTAGTTTTATAGGAACTTAGTTAAAAAGGAATTTTTATTATTGTTAGGTAACCACTTAAAATCACATTATGTTTTATATTAACGCCATTAGATTACGTGCGCGAATACTTTTTTTCTCAATATTAAGAGGTCGCCCTACGCCGGAATCACTGCGAACTGCAAGGCCTATTATTGTGTTTGTCCCCTTTCTATGGCTGCACCCAGTCTCCTATTCATGTACTCTGACCAGCATATCCTTGATAGGATAGGAACACAGTTCTTCCAATTTCAGCATTGCTTTCCCAAATAGAAAGTGTTGGTTGCGATCCAGAGACTCGCAGTGGTCGTGCTTTATCGCAAGGTCGTGCTTTATCGCAACACGAAATACTTTTTTCTTGAGACCTTTTTCAAAAAATAAACGGGCTACAAAGATAACACCTTTTTTAATTAATTTTTACTTTGGCCAATTACTAGTCTCGAGTTTCTATTTAATTTATGTCTTCATTCCGTCATTTTTCACCAATAATTTTTCATCATTTTTACTAGACTTATCTATGTATAAATACTAAGCATTAATTAACCTACGATGGTCTAAGACATCTGAAAAAATTTCTCAGAACTTATGACCGAGAAAAATCAAAAATTTTTCTTATTTTAAATAAAAAAGTCTTCGAATTGACACGGGATTTTTAACAGGACACTGTATCCTCAACAAACATGTCAGTAGATTGAAGCTAAGAAACAACGGCAAATGTAGATTCTGTGGGAAAAATGGGGAAACACCAGAACACCTCATCTCTGAATGCGCCGACACGACAACCATACGTGCCATGAAGTTTAGTATCGTCAGAATATATAGTCTCGGATACTGGCTTTTGTGAAAGCCCTGACACTGTATGTTGAGTTATAACTCGTTATAACTCATTAAAGGAAGACTTTAGAGATCTGTAATGTCACGGTGATGAACCCCCCTCTTAGGGTTTCCGGAACCGGAGCTGTTTTTCGGAACCGGGAATTTCGGTACCGCGTCTCTTAGGAACTGGGATTTCCCGATATTTTCGGTTCTTTCGGTACTGACTAATTTTTGTTCAGTGGTGGTGCAGTTTATCAATCGGATAGCAACGGATGTATTTTCACAGTAAAATGGATAAAAAATAGAGGTTTTTAATGAAAATAATATCAAATTAATAAGTAATCAGTTTAATGATTTAATTTCTGTTAAAGAAACGGGTGATTGAAATGGCAAGAGGTTAGTAAAGTCATATAATTTGACATTTTCACGCAATTTCAAACAATTAGTAATGTCACCATTACATGGTATGTGAAAAAATGTTTTAAAGAACGCCAAGCTATTAAATACAAGAAAAGTTCGTAAACTACGGAAAAATATATTTTACTTTATTAGAATTTGCAATAACATTTATGATACGGCAAATATATGTTGTTAAGCTAAAGACGACATATTTTGTTGCATAAGTTATTGTAGTGGATCATATACATTAACATTTTTTCGGTCTATTGATCAGATATATTACTTTTGCGTAAAAGTATTCTATCCAACAAGTATCCCAAGTATACTGTCTACAATGTCAAATATTTTGAAACCAGTAAAACTTTCCATAACACCTCACTAATAGTTTCCTCTGATATGTTGAAATTCACATATAAATCCTTGATCTAAAGTAATATTGGAATCTGTAAGCTGCCACATATTCAGTCTATAATACACGTATGTTATAGTAGTAGTATTAATTACTAGTAATGAGATATGCATAAATCCATCACACAGAGGGTGTTTCGATTGAATTTTAGTAAATCAAAGCGTTGCTCGTATATGTTTCGGTGAAATTAAAGGATTGATGAAAATTAATACTATTATAGCAGAGCAATATTATTATTCCAATTGTGAATTGAATCTGTAATAGCTGAAATGTTATACTTAAGCCATTAACATAACGCATAATTTTTAAATAAATTTTTAGTTGGCAAAAAGTTGATACAGTATCATGTTTTCTTTTGTACGCTAAGGATAATATGCATGAATTTCAGTAACATTATAGGAGAAATCAAAGATTTCACAGACATTTTGTGGGGAAAATGGGGAAACATATGAACACCTCATCATTTTGTAATCAATTCTCAAAACTACAAATTCACATTTAATCAATTGCCATACTACCTAAAACCCTAATACCTTTTATCCTAATCTGCGCCTCCAGGACTACATCCTCTTCCCATCCCAATAATTTTCTATTAATTTCTAGAACTCGTTCACCCGTATACGTATCTTCTATCCTCGCTACTAGCGTTGCCCTTATTTGGAATCTAATTGTGTCGCCGTATCGTTAGGCATTCCGATGACGACAGCCAGAGCTAATCTGAGACGGGACCACATATTTGAATATGGAAATGGCCCGAATTAGGTTCGGTTCTATATGCCATTTGTCGGGATAGCGCGGTTTCTGTCTGTGTGTGTAGATGTGTGTGCGAACGGACCCGCCTCTGCACTCGCTGATGGAATCGGTGGTCGGAGGCTCGAAATGAGAT